TAATATTTATTATTATAATTATGATATACATATGTATTAATAATGAGAAAGGGAATGAATTATTCAGTCTTATAAGTCAACAAAAAATATAATTTATTCTTAAATAATTGTCCTATAAAATTAAAACATATTCTAAAATTTTACCGCAAGACCATTTCTACAGAGCCCCACATAGTCCCTCCATCCCGACCTCTGGGATAATTTGAATAGGGCACATAATGAGCAGAAGTGTAACGTTCGTTGTGGCATGACAGGTTGGAGTTAGCGCTATTTAGCATTATTTCAGCACACCTTTAGTAGAAATCCAAGCGTAAACTCAACTGTAGTCAGTTTAGTTGCCTTAGCTGCAATCTTAGCCGGCTAATCTCTCAGATTTCTTTGCTGTGTTGAGCACACCAACACTCTCTTTGCTCACTCATTCGCTTTCTCTCTCTATCGCTCTCTCTCTCTCTCTCTCGTTCTCTTTCTCTCTCTTTCGTTGATGGCACTCACCGTTCTTTCACCATGGGCAACAAATTAACGCGAGCGCTGTGAATGCTGCAGAAGCAAGCAGAAGCAGAAGAAGAAGCAGAAGCTGAAGCTGAAGCTGTGCAAGCTTTGTTGGAACGGTGAATGTAATTACTTTAATGTGACCATTTGCCGGCACTGCTGAGCTGGCCGTGGCCCAGATAAAGATAAACTTTTGCAATTACAACGCGTCGCAAACGAAGCAGAAATACAAAGCGCAGCGCCAACTGATGGCGCTGACCAGCAGCTGGAGAATACGCATACATATATATTTATATATATTTATATACGCATATATATGTATATATATATAGCAAAGGCTGGCAGCTCGATAGCATCGAATCAGTTTACTTTTAGTGCATTTTCCTTTTGCTGCTGGCTAATTAGTGCGCAGAGCGCAGACCTTTTGAGCTTAAAGTCGCGTCTCAGAAAATTATGCGCACTGGAATGAACTTGTAAAGGCTTTAATAAAACAACAACAACAAAAACTACATTTTCAAGTTGCCAACGCGTTGGAAATTCATCCAGCCAAGATTGTTAACCAATGTAGTTAACTAGAAGATATGCTGTAGATATATTGAATGAAAAGTATAGTAGACATACATAAATTGGGAAATCTAAGATCAAATTTACTTTTTATTTACTCCAAAAATCTACATTTGATTTAATTTAAATAAATTTAAAATAATTAAAAAAAAAAAAAAAAGAGAAAATGAAAAAATTGTATATATAAAAATTTTTAAATGCTCAATAGAAAATCAGTTTTCTTTGGTTAAAGTAGGGCTTCACTTATTGAGGCAAAACATAACGCTCTTAGTATCTTAAGGAAGAGTTAAATACGAAGACAGACAGATTTATATAGACTAAGTTCAATTAGTTCGATTTAGCTAGCCCTGCATATAAATGACACATTTGAGAATACTGCACTTAATTAGCTGAAAATTTCAGTGTCTTCTGTTCCAATCAGAACAATAAAGTCCGCTCTATCAAAAGCAAAGAAAATGGATCTCAAATAATAAACCTTAGCGCTCCATACCTTCCCAATCACCTAGTATACTCCACAAAGAAAGCTTACAATGGGTATTCCACGAAAAGAGAGAAACATATGCAAGACAAGGTTACGGCCGGAAGGAATCATGTCCCGACTTAGGTGGTCCAGGCTACACATAAACTTTTGATGACTTTTTGAAAGTTTTACGCTCCAAAGTGGTGCACAAATTACGCGAAGTTGCGGGGGCGTGGCGCGTTGGCAAAACAGGCGGCCCACGCTGTAGTGCCAAAAACAACAAAAACAATAACAAGAACAATAACAACAACAGCAACAACAACATTGACAGCGGCGGCATTAAAACGTCAACAGATTGCCGAAAACTGTGCGTCCAACAAAATTAAATCCACGGACATAACTTAAAGCTTCAATTATGGCGGAATGATAAAAAGCTTCTGATATTGGTATCAAGATTGTGGCAGCATTTGGTTGACAAATAAACGATAAGGAAACATAAAAACTAACAAACTTTTATTAGAATCATCCTGAGAACAGCTGTCAAAAATTACAAAACAACAATTTTTATTCTTATATATTTTTTAATAATCACAAATGCAAAACTATGGTTCGTATGCCTCGATGATGTATATAATGATAGATGACGATCTAGATAAGATACACGAAATTTCCCACACAGAGATATAAAGCCTGCTGCGCGCGCAAATCCGATGAGGGCAAGCCGAAGCGAAGCTCATCCACTGGGCGGCCTGCGTGCCGGGTCGATAACTACGGGCTGGCCAGGAAGAGCACGTTGATGGACATAGCCGCTCGAATCAACAGGAAAACATATAAGATGTACAAAACGCACAACACCGAGTGGCTGGTCGTGGACGGCGAGCAGATTGGGGTGCAGACGAAGCACAAGGAGGAGCTGGGCATGGAAATGGAGAACTTCTTCAGGCCCAGCTATCCAGGAGCACCTCAGCCCAGTGCGAATAGTCCAGTTGTGGTCGAATCTAGACTAACGCCAAACTATTCGAATTTCCCCCATAGCAATATGAATACATCCACATTTGGCCATATTAAGGATCAGCCCAAGACGGGAGAATTTAAGAAACGGAACCTCGACAATTTGCTCAATGCGGAACACGTGCAGCTAATCGACAGCAAAGAGCTGATAGAGCGAATACAGAACTTTGTCAAGAAGGTGAAGGACAAGCGTAAGGTGTGCAAGTCCAAGGAGAGAGCCAGATCACCATTGCAGCGTAAAAAGCTGAGCCCTCAAGAGGTTCTGCGCTCGTCCAATAGACCAAAGAGCAAAACAAACATATTGTCCGATCATAAGAACCAGAGTTTCCGACCTGACGCTGAACCAACTTCAATGCAAAGCTCCACCAAGATCATTTATAAACACGAGCAAACGCTACTGCCTCTCAACAAGGACGTTTTACAGTTCTTTAACAACTCCAAGCTCTTAGCGAGCAGACGAGAAACTGCAGCAGAGGTGGAGCGAATAAAGATCAACTTGAAGCCAAAGAGAAATGTTAAGCAAACTAAGAGAACTGTGAGAAAATCGAAGAGAATAAGCAGGAAAACGCTCGAGAACTCATCGAATGTTTGGAGAAGTGCTGTAAGTATTAAGCTCGATAAGATGAACAAGAGATTGCCCGTGGGCAATTCGAAATGGAAGAGCTATGAGGATCCAGATAGAACTCCTAGACCCTGCGGGTCTAGCAAATCGGATCTTAGACCAAGAATCAGAAATACGAAGGTAAATGAGCCGAGAGGCAAACTGAATGCTATCAAAAAGAAATCGATTGAAAAAAGAAAACAAATTAAGGACAAGGGCAAGCAACGGCATTACATTAAAATTGAACAGATAAAGCAAGTCAAAGTAAATGACTGGCTAGAAGATACGGAAATGGATACGGAAACGGATGAGCAGCAGAGGCCAGATATAACAAAAAAGAATTTAAAGACTGCAAAGAAACCAGAGAAGTCAAGAGAAAAACGAATAGTTATAAACACAAATAAAAAGCCGATTGAGAAGAAAAAAGAAGTTAAGGATAAGTGCAAAGAGCAACACAAACCGGAACAAAATGGAGCAAAGCAAGACTGGCTAGAGGACGATACGGACGAGGAAGAGCAGGTGTATTTGTTAGGCACAGAAGATGAAGAATTGATGAACGCGGAAATTATGGACAGTAAAGATTCGAGCGCATCGTCCAAGAAACAACGCGCGTTCACAAAGTTCAAAAAGTTGATAATGAAAATGAAAAGTATCGTAATCAAGAGCAATAGAGCGGCAAAGAATATGAGTCAAACAAAAATGCAAATAAAAGAGAGACAAATGAAAGCGAAAGAGCAGCAAAATGTGGAAGAGGTCGCTCTGAAACCGTTCGACAAGCACGAACGTGTTAAGGACTCAGCCGTGAGGCCAGTCTGTCGTCCTGCGGATGTTCGAGCTGAAGCGAACAATGTACGAACAGTTGCAATTTATAAACCGCAGAAAAGAACACCTCTGGTCAATGCCATTTCGCCTCGATTGCGTATGGCAGATCAAAGCGAACCACCAACTGCTCAGATGCCAATGAGTGTACCAGTACCTACAGAACGGAGTATACTACAGGAGCTCTTCAGCCTGGTTGAGGAGACCGCGAGAGGTAGGTACGTTCATGAGCTGCTTACATCACACTCCACTAATTGCGTTCGCTGATTTTTCCAGAGACAAGCCTTGTCAGATCTATGAACTTTGCAAAAATCCATCCAAATCCAAAATTTGGAGCTCGTTGGGAATTCGAATTGGCAATTTTGCCAAAAGAACAAAACTATTTCCATCCATCAGAGCTAAGAGTTCAAAGAAAGAGCTGGCACTCTAGCATATTTCGAACGCTTATAACGTGCATCCAAATTTTGGTTTTCTTTCTATTCGTAATGGTCGTATTCGCCGATCGGAATCCCATCTATTTTCGTTGGCTAATGCGACGGGTAAAATACTATTATTTCGAGAAGAAATTGATCATATTTAAAAAATTTTCTGAATTTTCAATGTTAATGAAATATATTATATATGCATATGTGCTGATGATGAAAAATTCATGAAAAGTAGATATCGCACATAGTCTGAAATATAAAATATCATTAGACAATATCATGAATAGCTTTTCTCCCCTATCTATAAAGCCTCTTTTAAAGTGTGAATATCTTGGCACCTTCTTTCAACCTTCCTTACTAAACTGGGCACAAAAAAAAAGAGACGAGAGACTCACAAAAATAGGCCTGACAAACTTTCCACTGCTCAGCCATAAACCATATTGGCGGAGCTCAATGCGGTCTGGTTGGCGAGCAGCTGCGGCGCTGATAGCGCATAAATGGAGAGAGAGCTAGGAAAAGCTGCCTTTGGCTGCACTTAAGAAGATTAAAGACCCGTTACGTTAGTTTCCACACGGCTCAGCTTTCCATTTGGTAGGGTTTTTCGCGGTTTGCTTTTCCATATGTGTGCGCCTTTTCCAGCCTGGCGTTAACTGCACTGCACAGCGACTTAAAGGCTTTCGTACTTTTTAAGTGTTGCTTCTGATAAAGTCTATGGCAGATTTGAAAAATTAAGTGAATAAGATAACTTATAATACCACAAATAATTTTTTTTTAATTTAGCTGATTCAAATTTCGTTTTAAATCAGTAAACTCTAAACTTTAAATTTGCTGCTGCACAAATATCCCATAAACTGCTGCAAAGCAGGAGATGCTCACGGTGGCGGTAGGTGCGGGGTGGGGGCATGTGTCAAATCATCAATAGCAGCAAATTCAATTGCAAATAGTGAAACACACTGTTCTCTTGTCTCACAGATATCGTTGACAATTTCCTTTTTTCATTTTGCTGGGCGACAGGCAGAGTCAGGGGAATGAGAGGGGCGGGAGGGCTACACTTTGGGGATTTATTGAAAATGCTTCGATTTATGTTTAGTGCGATATTTGCATTTTGGCTGACAAACGAAACGCCGATGCGACAAATGCAACGGAAATATGCACTCAAAGTGTCGCAATGGGGTGGCCAAATGGAAAACTCACGAATCCAATGCGTGGGAGGATGACAATAGATAAATTGATTTTTATTCTATTTTTGAATTTTTATTTTGCTGCGAAAAATATCAAGTACATATATATTGTAGAAGAATTTTCTGTACGGTGTAGATAGCTGAAATAGTTGAAAAAAAAAAATGTGTATATATATATTATAAATAAATATATATTTATCTCTAATTATATTTCAATTTATGACCAAATCTCATTTATGATTACTATATATTTAATCTTTATTTTCTAAGGATGTATTTAAAAAATACAATACATATAAATGCATCATATGTATGCAAATTTTGCTTAGTGGAAAGTATATATTCTCTTGACATTAAAAATCTTAAAAAAAAAAAAAAAAAAAAAATTGAAATGCTACAAAATTACTAAATGCATTTTATCAATTTTTTATGATATAAAAATAAAATTTATACATAGAAAAGCTAGAAAAATCATAAAATAATTTTCAATATTTATGCATAGACATTACATACATATTACGTTTTTTTTTTTTTTTTTTTTAATTATTTTGCATTATTTATTTTCTATCAAGGTTTACTATGCTTCCATACAAAAGGGTTTACATGCTTTAGCAATGACACAAACCTTAGGCAAGCTAGAAAAGTTTGCTGTTAAACATTAAATTAGACCATAAAATATAATTATTTTTTTACATAGAAACTAAAGAAGGCCCCAGTGGCCAGTGCTTAATTCTTAGATTTGTCTTAATTTTGTACTAATTTTAATATCTAATAAATTAATAAATTTAGCATGGATGCATTATTTTGTAATTTCTTTATATTTAATAAGCGACTTTAACACATTACTTATAACTAACTGCAGTTAATATTTATTTGTATTTTATTTCCACCCAAGACACATTGCTATTAAGAAATAACTAAAATTTGTCTATATTTTCTGTTTTCAGTATTAGGAATAAATTAAATATCTTTTATTATCTAAAATC